GGAGCAAATCAATTTTGTGATAATATTTTGTATAATATTTTGAAGGAGAATTAAATAACCTACTTTAGTTGGACGAGTCTTTGAATGAATTGTAATATAATAATTTCATTTAAGAGGAATTTAAAGATTGGAATAGGAAAATTCTTCAATAAGATATACGTATATTTATGTTGCATTATATAAAAATTAAAGATAGTACCATTTGGATTAATAATAAAGATAGTATCACTTGAGTTTTACTTTTTGTTTTGATAGTTTAACTTGAGCCACATTCAACAATGCCACAGTTGGTGATTCAATTCTTTTATAAATGATACATTAGATTAATATTCATTATTTATTTAATTTGTCATGGTAAAAAGAAATGGAATTTAACTTTGCGCCAGTTCTCCATATGAAATCGTTTATGATAAAATACATATAATTAAAGTTAATATTATGTAATTATTTATATAATGATATTCGAATTATAAGGAATTTAACTTGATTAAAAATTAACACAATGTCATGGCTTATTTCGAGCTTTAATCAAATTAACTTTGAATTAATACAATTAACAAACGTTTCGGCTTACAAAATCTTCCTCAGTGCTACAACGCAGAAATACAATTTTAAATTAATGCATTAAAGAATAACGGATACAATGAAATTTTAAAAATCATCAAAAGAGTGTGAGGATTTAACATGCGGTACCTGCATTTAAGCTTAACTCATACGGCTTCCATGGGCGCGGGATCTGGAATATGTCCGATCAGCGCATCACTGCTAGGCCGAGACTCTCAGTCGCGCTCGCGGGACGTAGGTCCCAACAAGCAACTCACTAGTTGGAGCGACTATCCTACCAGCTAAGCAGGCTAGTTCCCGAGCATGATACGCAGCTCACCGTTGGAGCCAGAGGCCCTTAGTCAACAGGAGCTATCAATCATTATCACCGCGAATTCTATCCATGACTAGGCGCGAGCAATTGCCACAGACCCCGTGGTATCAATCTAGATTATCGAATCGTCGTAGCCTAAGCTACTTCTAGTTTGAGCCTACACGCGCAACACTGGTCGGCCAGTCCTTTGGGTGCCGGGACGCTACTTCCCGGGGACGCTCCACAGTAATCGCTCAGCAACCTGACCCCGGGCCTAGCTCCGAGGCAGGATGCTGAGCTTTCAACCTGATCAGTATCGTTCCTGCGTAAGCTAAAAAGTTTATTGGCTTATCCATGATTCTGAGCCAATCAAGTGATTAGATAGCCTCGAGTCTTATAGGAACAAGCTGATATTATGTGGGCGCCGGTAAAACTCGAACTCGGTAGATTGCGAGTCGAAACGCACAAGGCGTCAAATCACCAACGCCCGTTTAAAAAAACCATCAATAGTGACAAAATATATCAGTAAATATATCACAAAATAGATCAGTAGTGTCAAAATATAAAAAAATATAAAAAAAATAAAAAAAATAAAAAAAAAATATATCGAACGTCAATAAGTATCCCGCTAGATGACAAAAAGGTTGGAACATTTGAATACTTCAGTCAACAAGATAGATTAATTATGTTTATCGATAAAGATAGATTTGCTAAATTCCTCGGTTGAGATCGAGAATCCAGTTTTCACAGACTTGTATCATACGACTTGGGAATTCTTTAGTTACGAATATTTTATGATATTCTGTAGAACAAATAGACTTATTAAGATAATATATTAATAGTGAGAATAAGAGATACAGAATCAAATAATAACTTACGATAATTTATAATATAATATATAAAATTTCTGAATTTCTGATTGAGAGTTTTGATTACAGTATTTTATATATTAGGTGTTGGAATTAATTCGTAGCGTTTTACAAGTGATGGGAAGTACTTTCATTAATGTATTTTTTAATGCTCATGTGAAATAAATAACATTCTTTCATTAAAAACGCTACGAATTAATTCCAACACCTAATAAATTATCGTAAGTTATTATTTGATTCTGTACCTCTTATTCTCACTATTATCTTAATAAGTCTATTTGTTCTACAGAATATTCGTAACTAAAAAATTCTCAAATCATATGATACAAGTCTGTGACAAACTGGATTCTCGATCTCAACCGAAGAATTTGGCAAATTTATCTTTATCAATAAACATAATTAATCTACTGTTGGCTGAAGTAGGTACACTAGGTTCTAACTCAGGTCCTCTGAGGGAGGTGTGGGGCGCGTGAGGTATTCGTGGGCGCGGAGGGGAAGGCACGATAAAGTCCTGGCGCTATCGGTGTTTACCGATATGATGATACATGCCGTCATGTTTTACATGCCGTCATGTTGTGACGTCGAGTATCATCATATGCCGCCGCCGCGGACCCCGCGTCCATTGCAAAATGTGTCGCGGACCGCCGCCGCCGTGCGTTATCTCATATACTTACCATCTTTCTTTTGATGTTGTCGTCTTTGTGTTGCCGTCTTCTCCTATCTTCCTTTTTTCTTTTCGCATCCAAAACCATTTGACATGTCACGATATGTTCTGATGATGATATCATCAATGCGATTTGATATAAATGCGACCTTGCCAAATAGTATACATATCATGTGACCAGATTTTTCACGAACATTCGACATGGTAAGACATATCACAACATGTTCGAGCGGTCATCATCAATGTAATGATACAAATATTACGCGACCAAGTAAATGGTATAAAATAAGGAGAATTTTAACCTCCGAATTGCGCGCGTTTATTTTCATACTTGTTATTCATTCTTTTGTATTACAATGGATAGGTACATATGGCATAGGATAGATTTGATGGAAAATAAAGAAAGTACATATATAATGATATGAAAAAAAAAAATTTTTTATTCACATATTATTACATCATTTTTTTCGAACGTATTAAAAACTAAAGCCAATAGCTTGCAATCGACGAGTTGATGCCCATTAAAGATATCGCTATCGCGTATAACGTTTTTGGACGCGATGTTGGAGAATCGCGTATACATCGACCGTATCGACGAGTCGGGCTAATCGTTACATCGATACATCCAAACTCAAACGTACGGCGTGGCGTCGTTTCGGTCATACGTACGGACGAAGAATCGAGACGTACGAGTGTAGCATCGTTCAGTGTGCAAACGCTGATGGTTAGCGATCCGCTTATAAAATTATCTTTGTATTCGTTTCGCAGCATTTTGTAAATATTCCATCGTTGCTCGTAGAGGTCCTTCCACGTTTCGAGAGACAGCGACAGTTCATATTCGTGATGATCTCCCAGGGCGATCTCCACGTAACTTGGTGGACCAGCGTTGATTCTAATTTTCATAAATTTGTAGCTCGTAGTCGTCAGATCGTAACGTCTGCTCAATAAATGCACCGCGCGATGCTCCATGCTGTGTACGTATATAATATTAAAAAACGTTTCTTTTGTATATAGAACGTTGAAACTTACATGTTATTGCAATCCTTCTTCGTTTCGTACGATGCGTTGCTGTCTTTCACAAAATATATTTTTCAACCGTTCATCAAGCGAGTATCGTAAGACTAATTGCATCCGCGTAAATTGTGACGTATATGGTAAAACTTCGAGAATAGAAGAGGAGGTAATCCTTCCTCTCTTTCCAAGAATTACGAAAATGTCGCGACACGTTTTATCGCATTTTTTCTACGTATTTTTTTTGTTCTTGAGTTTATCAATGTTTATACCTTATGGTTTATATTATTCCGATGGCATCGATGACATTGATGAGCACGTTGGCGACTTTGATGCTTTTTCCCCAGGGCATTCCCAATATCTCGCTTTTTCCTTCGAAGGCGGTGGACTTAGCGACAAGGGGCGGTACCTCTTTCGCTCGATCGATTTTCAGCTTATATATTCTTTTACTCGATATATTCTTTTATGTCTTAACGCTAGTAACTGAAGCTTACGATTGAATGAAAAAGTCTTATATATTAACTGTATACATTGCATATATTGTCAGATCGGACATTTCACGACGCGTTTAACAGAACGTCGATGTTCCGGATACATATATACGTACATACATATTAGGTGTTGGAATTAATTCGTAGCGTTTTTTAATGAAAGAATGTTATTTATTTCACATGAGCATTAAAAAATACATTAATGAAAGTACTTCCCATCACTTGTAAAACGCTACGAATTAATTCCAACACCTAATACATACATACATACATACGTATATACATACATATACGTTTCATACATATACGTTTCATACATATACGTTCATACATATACATTCATACATACATACATACGTATATACATATACATATGTTCATACATATATGTTCATACATATACGTTCATACATATGTACATACATCCTGTACAGGTATGTTCATACGTATATGTTCATGCATACAGGTACATATATTACAAAGGAAGGAAAAAAGAAATACGTAATGAATATGTTAACGTAATTTTATTAAAAAAATTCTTTTGCAACCATCAATTATATATTTTCAATACATTTTGTAACGCGCACTTCTTAACATGTTGTCCACATCGCATAGTATTAGCAACATCCAGATTAGTTAAAGATTCCATGTCTTCGTAAACTGCATCCAAGGTACATTGATCCAAGATCCATCTCGGTGTACATGCGTTCTCACTCATCATCCAAAAGCAAGTTTCATAACCACGTTCGTTTTTTGCGTTGTTTAACGTACACGATAGCATCATCTTCAAACGCAGCTGCCGTGATCAGACGTTTCGCCTCGTTGCAGGGACTATCCCGTCTTCTCATCGTAATCCATGGTGATAAGCACTCAATCAAGAAGCGCAAGACCTGTCGGATCTTGTCGAAAATTTCTATGGCATGGAGACTCGTAAAAATGTAATGTGAGAACGATCCCCTGTTCAGCACCGTCACTTCCTTCATGATATATTTCTTGTTAACGATGAATTCTTGCATATCCACGAACGTTGGCACGAGCATGTTGTCGAGAAGACTGCGGTCAATTACGGTCGATTGCGACGTAGATTTTATACTGTGTCGGAGATGCACTTAGGTGATTTTGCGCATAACGTTGGTCAATGGATTATATTGAACCACGCGATTGTGTATGATGAGACAATAGGCTGTATTTGCGGGCACGTTCTTCTTACATTCAAAGTCTAATTGCACATCTATGGTGCCACTTTTGATCGATTCGTTCTGTCGAGAACAATCGATGATCACGAACGGGCCATCACGTAAAAAAGTTGTAAAGATGAGACTCGGCTTAAGATACTCGTATCCGTAGTAGATCTTACAGAAACGTACGTACAAATCGTATAGAATCGCACATCTGCTTTTATCAAAATCCTGATTCAAGTCATCGTACGGATAACATTCCGAATTCAGGTAGAGTTTCGCATTGGTTAATTTGCAGTCGTCGAATCGACTTATATCGAACATAACGTTTTTTCGACCTGTTTGCATAGCGAAAATGACGTAGCATGACGGCTTTTCGAACTGAGTAGCCGTCTTGATGACCTACGAATGCTCGGTTGTGCTCTGCAAGAACAAAAACTCGTACAGATCCCACAAGCGAAAAGCCATGCTCAGATATCGTCCGCTCTCCAAAGCGCGCAGCATCGACAGTTTATTTATCTCGCTCAATAACATGTGCGGCATTCGCCACTGTATTTTGAATAATTCGAGTGTTGGCTCTGTCGCCGGGTCTTCCGTCAGACAATTGTTATCGTTGCGCGCTTGCATTAAAATCAACTCGTGATGAGCGTTGATCACTATGCGTTTGTAATCTTCGCAAAATCCCAGCAGTACGTAGAGCGGTACACAGAAATTAAAGTATCCGGTCGCAATAGTCTGCGCATCCCAACCGGCATTCCGCAGAATCACTTCCGTCGGATGACACTGTTACATAGTTTTTGAGCGTGCTAGTTATGCTCACGTTTTTGTTACAGTCAATCTCCACATTAAGTTCATAGCGAATCTCATCGAATATGAACGCGACGCAATTATTTCCCAATGCCACGTGAGCATTCTGAATCACTTTGTTCTTCGTCAGTTTTCTCTTGACGTATAGAAAGCTTTCGTACGGCAGTGTGTACAGATCCTGTTGCTGTATGGGTATTCTTATTTCGTCGCTGTACTCGAACGTTGTGTTAGCGAACGGACTGTACGTGTGAGTCTCAATATTGACGATGCGATCGTCGAAGATCGACTCGTATTTAATGTTTAGGATATTTCAAATGTTGCGCACCGCGAATCCCAAAGATTTTAAAAATGCAACGTTCAACGCGCTGAGCTTCTTCTTCCTGATACAGCTGGATGAGCGAATGTTATCGAGCTGTGACGTCATCGGCCTTGTAAACAATTATCTTTCTGCGTACGCTCTGTTCCGTTCAGCACAAGCATCTCACGCTTACGTTATTACTGTCGTAGTACGTGCAATCTAACGATGATCTCTTCTCCTCGAAAATCAAACAATTGTCCATTCTGGTCGAAGACGCGTATCATTAGATCCGTAATGTCCCGTGTGATAATCGACAAGTAAATGATCTGCGATGACTATTCCGATATCTTATATCCCGGCGGCACATTCGGCGATAATTCATGTATCGTGTGCGCGCTTTTGCCGTTGCTGTACGCGTCACGTTACACTCTACGCCAATAACGTTTACGTTCATTATATTGATCGACACGTCCGATTCGTGCCACCTTCGCGGCCGCAGTATACGCTCCGACGAGCGTAATCGGGTATTCTTCACTCTCACCATTATCGGTGTCATTGTTGTTGTTGTTATTATCATACCATGCACTACGTCAACGGTTTCAAGCGCGTCGCGGTGCTGAAAATCGTTTTCGTAAAATCGCGCGTTTCAGAAATTCAGTTATGTCTCGCACTACGTATGAATCCTTGGGAATTGTAATTTCATTATCTTTGGCGAAATAAAATTTGTTGTTCGATTCGTTCACGTTCGGTATTGTGTGATAAGTCTCAAAAATCGCAAGACCGAGTTCGTAATCTCCGTTATTCAAATCTATGGCGGGAAAGTAGTTCGCCGCGAGGATGGTGCTCTTCCCGCTCAGCGTCAATGACATGACGGAAAAAGCGTTCGATTAATATTAAAATTTTACAGCACGTCGTCGAGCTTTTTAAATTCACGCGCGTCTGTAGAAACCGCAGACACATCTGTCCATAGAAGCTCTGATTGCACATCTGATAGGACGTGCGATTGTACTCTATCGTCGTAGCATCGTTATCGAAATATCGTTCCTTGGACGATCGAAGATTATCGTAACTATCCAAGTACAATACACGACGTGGTTGTTCCTCTTTGCGTACGCTACCCAGTGAATATCAGGCCCTGTCACATCGTCCAGATTCATGATATCGCTTTTTGTTTTGGCACTCGTCGGTAACGTGTTACGCATGAAAACGCCTCTAAAGTACGCGCATACGTCTCGCGAGCTCGTTCAATTGCACATTGGTAGTTGCGCCAGACAGCATTTTTATCGTCTTTTTGATGTTTTGTTTTCTTTGCAGCTATGCCCTGTTCACGTTTGTACGGGCCGAGATACTGTCTGCGTCCATATTTGTACGGAGCGAGATACAGGGACCCTGCATCGCGTGATCTTCGAACTGACGTCGCATGGCTTTGCTGTCGTTTACCGCTTTCGCCACGCTGACCGCTCCGCCGATCGAGGACCTGAACGCGCCCAACATTGACAGAAACGGTAACGCACCTCCTCGTTTCGCCGTCGGAAGTATCCGCTTTTTCGTCTTTTTTCTCGTCGTCTTTTTCTTCGGTGCCTATGTCAATCTTGGTCTTGGCTTTCATCGCTGCCCAGACAGCAGCAGCGGCGGTTCTCTCGCTCAGAGCCGAATTTCTCGCGACGACGCGTTCTAGTGCTTTATCGGCGAGTACCTTGTCCACCGCGTGTCTGTTGGATCGTTGCTCCGAGAATTCGCAATGTTGTGTTCTCGGCACACCGCGTTCAGCGGATTTATGCCTGCGTCACCTCTGGCTAATCGCTTTGTAAGTCGAGTGCCCGGACCGCAAAACTGGTAGCCCGGAATATGTAACTCGAAAAGAAGCGCGTTTATCACTCGATTTAGCAGACCACTGCGTAACGCCGATATTCGCTACAATTCCTTATCTTCGGTGCGGGACCGTCGATGTGCGTCGCTGCCACGGCTGATTGTAATGCTCGTTGCAGTGATGATTCGTACGCTCGAACCTTTGAATCTGCTTTCACGTGATCCGGAAGCTTGTCCCAGACGTGTTCGATATAGTTGCCGTACACGCGTAAGAATACGACCTTCGATATGTATTGCAACTGCCTCGGCGCTCAAGTCTTGAATATCGGAAGGATGACACTGCGCGATTCGCGGATTCACGCACCTTTAAATAGTCGTTCGAGAGCGCGTAGCCTTTAGTGTGAGCTTGAAATTCGTGCGGCAATCGTTGATACGTATCACAAACAGCGAAATCGCGAATGATGGGAGGCAGCGCGGAGAAGTGTAAGTATTTCGGCGAAATGCTGCCGAGTACTATACGCGCAATCATTTTCGACCCGTCTAATTGCGATAAAACCAATATTCTCATAAGTTTGCTCGAGTCCAAACGGTGTACGTTGCAAGAACGTGTACTCGAAATCGCTGCAACAGCCAAAGTATCGATTCTCGAAAATTTATTTACGTCTATCGACGAAATCGGCTACTTTACGTTCTCCAACAACAGCGACGTCGTTCCATTGAGCGAGGCGCTCCCAAATTCTATTTTTATCTTTGATGACTTGGCATGCGACAAGTAGGATAGTGAGAGAATACTTTTCGATGGGCCGCCACGCGAACATTGACTGCTTCTATCTCTGTCACTCGAGGATACTTAAACATCTGATACGCGACAACGCGAACCTGCTGATACTGCTCGAACAGGATTGTACCTTGAAATACGTTTATAAGGATCACGTGAATACCGACATGTCGTATGACGAATTTTATTTGTTGTATCGCAACTGCTGGCAAAAAAAATATGGATTTTTAGTGATAGACAATGATAGTGCGCTTAAAGATGGGAGATACAGAAAGGGATTTAACGATTTTGCGATACCATAACGTGACCAATTGTTGTCGATACTTTGCCAGAGACGAACATGGCTGATGTGCGCGAGTGAAAAAATCGTGAGGGAGATCAAGAAGACGAGCGAGTCGATTCGCAAGAAACATCGCGCTTTGAAAATCGGTAGAATTGAGGAAGACATGGGATTGGACAGGCATTTTAAGTCTATTATCAGTCAGAGCGAGTCGATTCGCAAGAAATATCGCGCTTTGAAAACCGGTAGAATCGAGGAAGACATGGCATTGGACAGGCATTTTAAGTCTATTTTCAAACTGCTGCGACAGATCGTTGACAACTCCGGCGTGTGCGCGGTAAAGAGATAGTGCGATAACGCAGCGTCTGTCTTCAAGCGCGAAAGAAAAGAGGAGGAGGAGGAGGAGGGAGAGGGAGAGAAAGCGAGTGAGACGTTCGAGCGTTCCGTGACCTCGCGTAAATCCGATGATCGATCGCACGATCGTGTACAGCTGATAACCTCCACTCCGCGTACGACGATTGTATCAACGATAGAATCGTTGGAAAACGTTTTCGAAACAACAGACGACTCACTAGCAACGAAGGTTCAAAATCGGTTGCAAACGTCGGAAGGTCGAGAAGCATTGCAAGCCGGCTTGGACCCGCTGGGTCAAAAGCACGTCGAGGCTGAGGGGAGCGCGAGGTAAGTATAGATTATGTGTACGACGTTTATCTACACAAGGATGGATTGATGTTTGGCAATAAACGTTTCGACGTGGATGATGCGGACAACATAATTATCGGCGTACGATATACCGGTACACCTGGTCTTTACGAGTTAATTTTGAAGAGAATTCTCGACGATCTCTTCTACACGGAAGATGATATGAACAAATACAAGAGCATGCTGCTGGTAACGAACACGCACAAATAAAAGCATCATTCGCAGGGCCGATTATTGAGCAATAGGGAACACAAGTACAAATTTATAATCGTGCCGTTGATGTCGATCACACTCAAGAAACAGAAGAAGAAATCTGGAAAGGGATTACCTCACGCAATGATATTGAACGACAACGCGATCGATTACATGCACTGAGACGATTCCAACGAGCTAGTGGATCATCTACGATTGCTCGACGCTTCGCATCGAGCGGATAACAACGACGTAACTCTCGCGATCGCTGAAAGACTCTTGGACACGGTGTACAGCGTGATAAAAACTGGTCCAATAAAATTCAAAGTGAGCGATTCGGTACGTATGAGCAAGTACAAGACGATTTTTGAGAAGGGTTACACCAAATTGGACCACCGAGGTGTTTATGATCGTTAAGGTGCAGCGTACCAATCTCGTAACCTATCTACTCGAGAACTATCGTGGAAATCCGTCGCTGGTGCGTTCTATGAGCATGAGTTACATCGCGCTACTCACCCAGATGTGTATTTCGTGGAAAAAATATTACGCAGGAAGGAAGATGTACGTCAAGTGGCTGGGATCGCACAATTCATGGATACACAAAAACAATGTCATTTGATAAAATTTTGATTCGTGTATTTTTCTACATATAAAAATATATATCAATATAAGTATGTAAACGTATATTTTTTTTACTACTCCCCATTCATCATCTTCGTTTTAGAGTATACAAAATACATAATTATTTATAACAACTTATGTATGGAGCAGAATACATATGTACATAGGTAGTAATACATAATAGTAATACTTATATAAAGTGTAAATCAAAGTAATAGTAATACATAATAGTAATACGCATAAATAGATAAAAACAAGAGAGACATAAAGTGTAAATTAAAATACTAATAGTATATAATACGTATATAAATGTTAAAAACATACGATATATATTATATGAAGTACAACAATCGTAATACATAATAGATGCTATTACATAAAACATACTAATAATACTTGTACATACGTAAAAAAAGTGTAAATTACAATAGCAATACATAATAGCAATATCTACTACATATAATACATATAATACATATAACATATATGTATATTACATATACATATATTACAAATATCCTCTAATGCCCCCACGGTAATGTCTCCGTCGAGTCCGATACGACGTATCGTTGTCGTTGTATGGACTCAGAGCGATTCTCGATTCGGATATCGTGTACACTTCGTGTAATTTAGATCGTATACGCGATTGACGGCGAATTATTTCGATCTCTTCGTTCAAACACTGCGTGTAATCATCGAATGTTATCGTTCGCGCTACGATGTTATTCTTTACGCCTTTTGCCTTTTTAGTGTCCTTGTCCTTTCATCCTCACCGCGTACATCTTCGTTTTGAATCCAACGAATTTGCACTGTTATTCTCGTCTTTTATCAGGCCAGATACTTTTTTGTTCGCGAGAGGCATACCGTACACGTTGTCTTC